GATTACAAGGTGGATTTAGGAAACATTCCCCTCCCCACTCATGCATGGAAATACTGGAAGAGCCCCAGCCTAGAATATAACTTGTATGGTTGAATAAAAAGATTCATATTCTTTAGTTCTCTAATGAACACATTAGAGAATCTTAAATTTCCTTTGAACATTAGTGCCAATTTGTAGAAAGCTTATTCAGTTGATCTAACTATGAAAACGATACTATAATCTAAAGAGTATTTTCCCCATGTTGCTGAGGTGAAAAGCACTTTTACGATTTTGCTAAGACAAGGATACTAAAAACAGACAGGATTGTCTTAATGAGTGCAATGCTTCATTGAAATAATAACTGGAAACACTGTACAAACAGTATCACGTCTATTACAAAGGCATTAATCAATTGAATTGTAGTTGCTTAAAAGGAGTTAAAAAAAATACAGTTTAGTGCAAATATGCCTCAAATGCATCTCAAATGTATGCTTGAGCAAAAAAAGCTATGACAAATTACTTCAAATGGCTTTACATCCGGAGCTTGCTTTCTATATCCTAATTAATGCTAACAGTAAGCAAACTTCTCAAAAAAAAGCAGGCTCATTTTATATCTGAATATTTCAATACAGATTTTTCATCTATTTTCTGTCAAAGCAATTGTTTTAAGGGAAGGAAATATTTAAATAACATAAAAATACAAATATCCAGCTTTACATTTCCCTAGGCTTCTGAGTGTGATTTGCATGTAATGATAAAATTAGAACTGCAAGTTTACGTAGTTATTTTTACTCTAGCCCACATTTGATATTAAAATAATTTCTGTGCATTTTAGACAACCATTTCATTTTATTTATTTATCAATACATTGAATCTCATTGTAGGAATGCAACAGCACAGAGAAGCAGCTTATCTGCCTATTTAGAAGCTTATTTACTGCTATTTACCTTCTACTCATTAGCAAAACTGACGTTTCAGGAAACCTAACACATATGGTAGGTTCAGTGCCTTAATTAAGAACCTTATTCTAACACATTAGCAAGTGGGAATGGGGAAAAAAATCACTATACTTTAGTTTTTATTTTCCTCTACAAATCTGTGAGCACCATTACAGTTAGAGCACTTTGCAAACATTACATTCACCAGAGAGGAAGCTGGCACTGTGTGCTACAGAAGAACACCAGTTCCAACACACCAGCCTAACCTGGTCACAGCAAGCTTCCAGTGCCAAAAACAAATAAGCAGCTCACATATAATAGAGTTTGAGCACAAAACTTTTTAAATTATAGGACTTTTTCAGAACACTTTTGTCTCCAGACCATAAATCTGGAAATAAATGAGAGCATACCAGAAACCTGAAACAAAAGTAGTATGGACTTTCTGACTTGGGTACTTAAAGTATGAAGTAAAAATGTATGCATGTACAAAATGATCATATATATATACACCCCAATTTTACACCCTCCAGAACACACCCAAACTGAAGGAATCCCTTCTTCCTCCCACCATAGTTCCAAACTGAGCTTTCCTCCAGTGAACCACCCAGCTGTCACATATTTTCCCTCTTCCAGACCATCTGCTTTTTCTGAGAAAAAATAATTATATTTCATCTCCTTCTGAACCAGCAACCCAAACCAATCCATGCTTCACCTGCCCATTGTGGGCCACAGACCTCCAACACCACGCCTTGAAGAATACCTTCAGGTACTTTATCTGCCCGAAAACCTCTGGAAGACCAGACTCTTGTGCATCCACATGTCATCTACCTTTCCTACGTGAGTCACTTAAGTTCTGTCCTCAAACTCAGATGAAGATGTTGATTATTTATTTGAATGATAAAGGAGGAGGGGCTCACCAGTCCTCCTCACAGCCTAGCTCCCCATCACGCTCCACACCTCATTCACTGTACAGGAAAAAAGTTATTGGGGTCATTGGGTACCAAATTCTTCAATCAGGCCGAGAGGTCTTCCTTCTTCAAAGGAAAGTACAAGAATCGGCAAAGCCCAATCTTACTACATTTGTGTTTGCTGTTAATGCTGGAAAACCAGGTAAGGTTATACTAATCTGAAGAGTACTTTAGTGCTTTAGAAACACAGTGGGTAGCACCAGAGGAGCCCCAACTCTATTTCCCATTATGTGCGTGGGACACAGTACACATAGAGAGGAATTATGCATATGCACAATTCTAACCCTGTGTTCACGTTGGGGGTTTTTTTGCATATTCCTAGAGAAGAACAAACCAGAACTCTGCTTTGGGCAAAAATTCCCCCTTGGCCATCTTGGAAAGAGCAGCTTTACTTCCAGGCGGGTTCCAAAGCCCCCAGCCTCAAACAGCAACACTGCCCCGGGCTGACTGAAACACACAGCCCTGCAAACCAGCAGCATTTCTGCTTTGAGATGGGCTGCCAGGAGGCCAGTCCGGCTAGCTGGCTCTCCAAGTGCAGGGAGACGAGCCTGGCAGGATGTTCAGGCGTCTCATTTACAGACCGAACTCCATCCCTTTGAGGAAGGCAGATCATCCGTGAAAGCACAGTTTGATCTCCCCAGGAGGGAAAGCTGGTGAAAGCTTTAGCGATGGAATACTCGCTGAGAAATGAGGGCCCTGTGGAGAATGCACAGAGCCACTCCATTTTACTGCCTACATCGAGTGCCCATTAGCCTGTGTTTCTAAGAAAGTAATGTAAGAGTAAGCTATGCTTTTAAAAGTAAAAAGAAAAGAAAGATGGGCATGCTCCACATAACTTTGTAAGGACACCACACCCTGAACATGTTGTTCCTCTAACATTTACAGTGAGCACTAGGGACTGGGCAGTAAGCCGATGCCAATGAATCTGCCATCACTTCTGTAGCAGCAGGATGAGACGGGAAGGTCTGAAAGCCTGCATCCGAGTGGTACTCACTACAATCCAGCCTGCTGCTTTTCTCCTTGGAGAAGAGAGGGAACAGCTGCCCAGAGCAGCAAACCCTGCCCAGCCAGCCAAATCCTGCCACCTGCACATGCGCCAGAGCAGCTCTCAGACCACAAGGGAGGAAGGGAGGGAGAGGATGGGATGGAAGCTCACAGCTTCCTGAACGTGTGCGACCCACAGCCCCCACCCCAGCAAAGCGTGGGTTTTTTTCCAGTGAAAGTGAACTACCTGAGTCAGCTAAACTGAGAACCCTACGACAGACCTTGCCCATGTTCAGTAATGAACATTGGTGACTATTCCTAATGAAATCAATAGACTGGTTGGGGGCTTAGCAAATACACCTGCACCGAGGCCTGCAAGCCTCTCTTACATCTGGGCATGGGCTGCCTGGACCGTAGGGAAGAGCCACGTCACACCCCCCCCACCCTACAACACCCAGCAAAGTGCAGAACAGGGTGGGGGAAGCACGCCATAATTTGTTATTGCCAGCGCTAGCTGTAAGATATTCCCCACCCAGAAATAAAGGGAACATGAGGAATGACCTGGGCTTCTGCAGTCTCTCAGGCGACATTTCTCTTCCCTGTCACCTCCTAGGTCTAAAGGCACATCCTTGCCCAAGAGCAGTAACTACTGCATTATGCCGCTCAGTATGGGTATGAGCAGCTTGCTCTAGCTCCTGCTAAACTGAAGTCACTCGTCTCCTAAATAGCAGCAATTGCTAAGTACCGTACTTTTCAAAGGAGAAGAAAAGCTGAGCACTTCTTTCCTTTCCATTTTTGGAACTGTACTGTAATCTGTGCAGCTACAGAGCTGCAGCTGACACCACAGCACCCTTTGCAATGACCGGAGTAAGCAGCAAAAATATCCACTGAATTTCTGGAGTATCAGTCCCGACGTTCCCCTCTCCCCTATGCCCACAGCACCTCTAACCTTGCTTCCAAATCCTGAAACACAATTAGAAACCTTCCCTGGCTTAAAATCTTCCTTACTTAAGCACCTAAACTTTTAATTGCACTTTGCTGGTATGGTTTAAAGATATATGGAAATTCTGCCAGATGTCCATGGCTAGCGGATCTGCTGAGGAACAATTCAATCTCAGGGATTTGAGCCTGGCTAATTACCCTCCTCCCTCCTGCACACCTACTGATACAATTACGTATTTGACTATGCCAGACTAGACCTTACACACTGCTGAACAGAACAGCACGGAGCTCTGAAATAAGATTCCATCTTTCTCTTTTCCTTTGTGCAGCCTTACTTCAGTAGGAATGAGCTTGCAGATGAGCTGAAAAGTATTTCTTTTCTAAAGCACATGCCTTTTTTCTACTGTCCAGTAAGCAGAAAATGGAATAAATTACATATACATTATAGCAAGATACATGAGGACTAGGTGGGATTTTTGTTGTTTCTTGCAGTTATTATCCTGGGCACCTTTAGATGAATATGCAATCAGAATAGAAATCCTTACCAGGAGAACAAAATTAGGATACATTGTGCTATAAGCAGGGCAGTCAAGTTTTAGTGCATTTTCAACCCAGTTATTAACATCTGAATAAGTGCTTTCAGAAGCATTAAACAGAATGCTGCTTTCTTCAGTGTCACTTTTGGTTGAAAACACAATTTTTTTAAAGAAACTGCTGAATCTGGTCTGCTATCCAGACCATTCTTTTTAATTCACACTGAAAAACTCCAGCCAATACTTCCTTCCAAATATACCAGCAGCAAAGTAATTTTAAGACAATTTAAAGCAAGTACTTGAAGCACTCATATACCTTATACATTATTTAAATACACCCTAAAACCCAAATATTTCATACTCACTAACAATGATTTGGTAGAAAGCATCCTGAAATCATCTGCTATTTCCTAGGTGTGTAAGATATTAATAACAGTAACTGACAGTCAATGACAACATAATAATTTAAGTGTGTTGACAATTATTGGACTGAACGCACTTCAGAGAAATGTAAATGCCAGAGGAGAGCAGCTACAGCTCCATGACTAATGTGTGCCCTGGATTCTGACCATCAGCTTTGCTGTTTCAGTTTTGTGACCTGAATCTCCCTCCCCTACCAGAAAGAAACAAAAAAACCCAAACAAGAAATGTCTTACTTGTTCTGCCTTCTCCGGTGGTTTTCTGTCTGCCTGCAAAAACTGGCAGTTTTCTCTCGCCAGCTTCTGGACCAGCTCAATCCGTCCGATGTCATCTCTTCCCTGAAGCTTGCACAAAACCCCTGCCTTAAGGGTGGGAGAAAGAGCAAACAGATACTTAAATCCACAATCCCAGGACATGACACCGCCACAAATTTCAACCTTAAAAGAAACGCATCTGTTTTCTCATATTTGCGGTACTTCGGTGCCGCTTGCTGAACACAAACACGTCGCTGCCTCCTGGGAAACAACTGGAGAAGAGCTGAGGCACATCCGAATCTCCAAATGTATCTACTTTGGAGGAACGAAGGCAGGGCTAGCTAAATCAACCGTTCCTCTGAGTGTGACTATCAGATACGCTGTGTTTTATTTGTTCCTGTCAGCCTGTTTCCTGTTACATAAGAGAACAAGAGCAAGAGGTTAAAAACTCATGGGAAAGTTAGCCAGGAACAGCCCTGGAAAAAGAATGAAGCGCAACACAAGGCACTCCTAAAAATAACAGGCTACAACTCCCCCTGCTCCAGCTCCAACCATTTTTCACGTATGCAAGCCGTAAGAGTTAAGAGACAGTTGTGCCATGTTTATTTATTCTGTAAATAACAAATCAGTATCTCCTGATTTTGTTTAGGGAAGAAAATGAGATTTGCTTTAAAAACTATGTTAGAACTATTTTTTTGGCTAATAATCTGCCAGTTATTCATGCTATGCTGATAGTGTTTTGTCATAACATTCAGCACTGGTTGTTTTATTAAAATACCATATACACACACACACACACACATAAAAAGACGGATTCATGCTTGCACACAGGCATACCAGACCCATCACAAAGTTAGCTGACGAGGGCTAAATTGCTCCCTGAAAAGTCATTGACTAATATCACTATCCATGATTTGGTCATGGATATAGCCTCTGCGTAACTGAGACCTGGCTCGACGATACCGCACGGCTTTTATTAGCCCAAATGTTTTCTGATGGGAACAGCATATGCCTTGAAAAGGCCAGGCAGGTGGCATGGCTATGGTATTGCCATATGACTTTAAAGACAATCTGCAAATAAACCTTTTTCCCCACTTCCTCCACTCTTTTCTTTCTCCTGTTCATCCTAACTGAATCGGTATCTACTCCAAAATTCATAAAACATCTTATTAGTCGGGAGCAAAAGCCAGGGATGCCCTGATCACTAACTTGTAATGCCATGCAGGCTTCATTCCTTTGGCCTGGAGAAAATCCTGCCCATGACAGCTGACGGTGTGAGAGTGCCCATCCAAACCATCCTACAGTCTGCTGTTTTCTCCAAGGAAGATGGAAATGTGGGTTAAGGTTTCTTCAGCTGAGGAGGGTAACAAATCCACTTTCTGAATAAGTGATTTAACGCTGATGGAAAAAAACAGGTTCCACGGCCACATCCAAAGAGTCATCCTTAATGAACTATTTGAAAGAAATTTTTACATGCCTACATTCCTTCAGTCTGGATGAAGACAGCCCTCACAAGCCTGCATCAGGCACTTGTGCTCTGGAGAAGGAAAGAATTTCAGATACAGCCTGTGCTTTGCATGTCCTATGCTTAGTCCCCAGCCTCCTGAGGCGCCCAGCTTTCCCACATAAGGAACCTACACACTGGTTTGAAGGTCAGAAATCCACCAAGAAAATAAGAAATTGCAGTGCTTAACCTGAAGATCCTTACATTTTCTATGAGATTAGCTCCTGATCTTCTAAATCGAGGACATGGATTTATAAACCAGTTCTGAGACACCGTTATCACCTGCAGATCAGGAGTGAGACTGATTTTATCAAATGTGGAAGAATATAATGAACTAGTTGTGCCAACTCTCTTTAATCGATAGAGAAAAAGAGGTACTTATAACTTTGTTTTTTACTCTACCGTAGACATTTAAAAATGGTCAGATGAGTTGTTTCCTAAAATTCTTCTTTTTTTCCCAGTAATTTACACCGGAAACCTAGGCAGTTGTCACAGACTTGGCTGAGGTCAGATGTCTGCACTTCACAATGCTTTGATGGCTTGGGGACATCAGCTAGAGCCAAACCTGCTTATTTCATGGCTTCGGGATGCTTCTAGCAGAGAGTATAACATCTGTGCACTGTAATCCCCCCAGGCTTGTAGGCTAAGGACAACTCAAAGTGTTATGGCCTAGTAGGGCTCTGGGACTATTTTGGCTTTGGGACTGTAAAGATTGACAGCCTCTCTGGATCTGGGATCTTACTACTGCGGAGGGACTTCTCCCACCTTCCTCTTGTGCCCAGCCAAGTCAGACCATGACCTACGAGCGGCATAGATGGTTACGAGTCCCTGTACTTCAAATGTCAGATGGACATCGACAGAAATGCAGTGTTCACTCTGCTGAACAAATATTTATTGATCTTGTGTATGAAGCAAAGCCCAATGGTTAAAACCACTTTTTTTTTAAGCTGAGGGAGGGGGATTTCACTTTGGGGGGACCAATTGGCTTCAGTATGTTCAAGTGGAAGAAACATCCTGGAGAAAGACAACTTTTTGAACGCATGAGCCTCGTGCTCTTTCACCCCTCGCCCTGTGTTCAGACAGAGCATATTATGGCTTTCTGCATGGATGAGCACCCCCAGGAAAAAGTAACTCTAGATACAAGCCCATTACCCCTGCCACGAATACCGTCTGTATTCAAGTTGGCAATTTTATTAAAGAATCATATTGTCCTGTTTCAAATAACCGCCAAGAAATAGTCTTACATTTTAACATGTCCCCTCCTCTCCAACTATTCTTTAATTTAAAGAATTACAGAGAATGTGAAAAAAATATTTATTTTATTGGGTTTCCAGAGGCTAAAATGTCAACTAAATATATCTGGGAGGGCTAAGGTATTATCAAGTTAAATGTACATGCTTGGCTCTGGGAGTAAAGAATGCACTTGAAATACAAAAGGCTAAACATGCTTTTTCATAATTAAGAAGAAAAATATGAATCCCTCGCTTTTAATTCTGATTTCCTCAATTATGCTGACTTTCCACTATAAATCTTTCTGCTAAATACTTATAAGAAAGCATCCAGGTCAACTAATTAATTAATTGATGACAGCTTCTAAAAGCTGGTTGGGAAGATATTGTTAAGAGTCTCCTATTACTGGTCATTTTCACTTGCCAATATAAATTTAATTTTCAAGCAATACCTTTGAAGCTGTTAGGCAAAAGGGTAAAGGCAAGCCGCCCTACTTCCAAAGTGCAATTTCAATTTGTATTTTGTGTGGGCACACACCCTCCAAAATCCTGCATGCCCAAATGTTGGTGCTTAGTCCTCTAATTCATGTACACCAACAGAGACACAATTACTAACTTATGTGAAGGTGAAAATCACGAAGTTGCATATTTTAACTGGCTTTAATTTAATGACTAATAAAAGAATGTAAAAGCTTTATAGTAAGGCTTTACTACCATTCACGGCACAAAATTACTATAATTAAAGGTGTTTATGCAATATTTGAAATGAAATAAAAAAGTTTAATGGGAAGGAAAGTAAATTTGTCACTACTGAGGTTGGAAAAGCAAAGATGCTGACAATGCATTTTCTGTTTCAGCACATCCATTGGAAAACACACCCTCTGCAAAGGCCATAAATGAATATGCTAGCAGTGACACAGAGGTGAATTAAGACAGCCCTAGGCAGACACGATGGGCTTTTTTATTTACATTATTTACACTGTTTACAGCATGCTTGCTTTTAAAAATCCCTGTACTGAATTTTTTTCCACACTTCTACCAGTTTTGTCAACTAACTCCAATGTAAGTCAAGCCTCCATCCCGCAGAGCGGTGTTTGGAGCAAGCACCACACCCTTCAACTCTGCTAACACAAGAGGTTTGTGGTGGTTTGGTTTTTTTCCACCGCACCTCTGTCTCCTTCTGTGTCTGGTGAAAACAACATAATTATTACAGGCTTCACCTTTGATCAACCTGAAAACTTAAAACCATATGCCACTGCCTCGAAAGATCATTTGCTTTGCTCCAGTCATGTGTACGGTCTCACTAAAGTGAAAAAAAAAAATCATTCACACCCTTAAACCAAACTGTATTCGGTGTTCGCAGGATGCCGTTTTTATGGCACTGACAAACAAATTGGAGCAACAGTTGCTTTGATAACGCTCCTGCTCTCCTCCCAGTTGGGCGCTTGAACGTTTTTGTTAACTGCTCACTTAATAACTGTTTAATTTTAAATGTGTTTCAAATTCTTTCAAATTTTAGAAGCTGGTTTCCAGCCAAATAAAAGCTGAGCAAATCAATATCCCAATAATAAATTCTTATGGGTTTTTATAATCTGCCCATGTAATCTTATTAGCTGGCTACTTAGGAGCTTTAAGCACACATGTCATAGTCTTTCTTTTTACACCTCTGACATAAATGTGAACAAACATTAAAAAAAAAAAACCTACAACAATCAAGTAGAACTGAGCATATATGAAATCCGAAAAAGAAAACAGAAAGCCAGATTTTTTGTGCAGTGAGGTCAGTATTTCCTCCTGGGTCTTTTCTATAGCTTTGTAATGCACAGCTGAGCTCTAGAAGACTGATCCTCAGCCCCGCGCTGATGTGAATTAGGAATCAAAGTCGGGTAACAAAATTTTCACACAATAGGGCTCCTACTACACTTTTTTTTTTTAAATAGACTTGAAACTGTGTGCAATTAAGAAAAGAGCAGGCCGTTTCCAAACATCTAGCTCGAGCGTTACTCTGAAGAGTATGCTAGAAAAGCCTAGTTACACACTGACGCAGTAGGCATATCCGCATGGTCCCCAACTCTTCTGCCTGTGCTCTCCAGGTGTCTGCCATGGCCCAGGTCTGCTACCGGAGCTGCCTACAGCCCCTCCTGGGCTCACTGTGGTCAAGACCGCCCCTACCTTTAGAAGGATATAGGTACTGCTAACTTGGCTACATGGCTTGTACCCCTTCATCTAGGCTTGCTCGCAGAGAGCAGTGCAAATCCTGTCTTTCTCACACACAGCTTTTTAGCGGGCAAGGTGTTAGGAGATAAATCAGAGACAGGAACTGCAAATTGCATACGTAGGAAGGAGAAATGGTGGCAACTGGTAGGAAACATAAGATTTTCAAGAGGAATAGAAGAAAAAAAAACAAACAGTCAAGACTGGGAGAAACCAATTTTAAATTAAAAGAAATAATCAGTACCAATACAATGAGCAATATAGTTACACTTGCACAGTCTGAATGCATGAACTGAATGATTGAATGAACTGGAGATTAATCAAAAAAGTTTCACAGAATTAAAAAGGGTAAGCAATTCCACAATAAAATACTCTAAAATGCAGTTAAGTTTCTTCTGAGCAATATCTAGGATGCTTTAGTTGTAAATGAGGGCAGTTAGGGAAGGAAAGAAAAAGGTTGTTGCTTACACTCGAGTGACTAATAAGTATCCTCAATTCATTGCATGTCTACTTACAGTGATTAAAATTAAATCAAAATGTCACATGCCTTTGCCTCCTAAAACACATCTCATTTTATTTTCACATCTGGTATATGCTATGTGTATTATCTAAAAAGAGCAGAAAGATAGTTTAAGAATGCTGTCAGATTTCAACATCATGGGATTAATTCCCAGGGTAATCATCAATCTTATTCTAAATAGTCACATAAGACAAGATCCAGCAGACTTTCTCCTTCATACAGGCTCCCTGTGCAGAACATCAAGGAAAATCCATTTCCCAGAGCTATTGAAAGCAGATCCTTCAACTTGTAGATCTGAAAAAGTCCCTAAGATGCCATTAATCTTGCACATTTACCTGAGCATCAGAGGTATCCTTGAGCTCTTCTAGTCCTCTTATTTCTTGACTGCTGTTTTCTTCATTTTGATGAATTGCTAAAATAAGAAAGAGGGAATGTATTGGAAGCAGGCCGGTTCAAATCATAAGAAGCAGCAAAGCAGCATGGCCCAGTTTAGATCAAATAGGATGACCATTCAAGAAACCTCGTTCCAAGTTTGGCTTTCCAGTTAACTCATCGAGTGGTTTTGGACAAATCCTATAAGGTAT